CTATGCCCTATTTCTGTCCTACCAGCTAGCCCCTTCACTAGCAGGACGCGTGATACCTTTCTCTCTCGATCCCTTACCTTCCCGTTACTCAGAAAAGGTACGGGAATAGACTGCAAAAGTCCTAAAAAAGCCCCCAATCCCGCAAAATCCCTAACAGATCCTTCCAAGGATCTCCAACACTGTCGTATTCCCTGCCGAGCTTCCAGGCCTCACACCCCCCATCCTGCTGGGTTACAGGGCAACACAACTCACCCCAGCTCTGGCCTGCGTCGTCTCAGCAGCAACCCTTGGTTGTCCCGTGGGATGCCCCCCCAAAGCACCCCCAGATCGCTCTACCAGGCCTCATGCCCCTGCATCAACAGGTTACAGGGCAACACCCCAGCACCGGCCAGCGTCGTTCTGGCGTCGAACAGCCTTAGGTCACCGAGTATTACAGCCTTGAAACTACCTAGAAGAGATTGCCAGGAAACCCCAGGATCCAGAAGACTTTTTAAGGACAGAACAGACTACCCGCTTTTTTGAGAATTGAATTTAACTACGTAAAAATTTGTAATTGAAAACATAAAAAAGGCCTGGCGGGTCCTAGAAATGCTCAGAAACTCTTGGAATCCCTAACGCTCCTTCCGAGGCCTTTCAACACTGTCCTACTCCCTGCCGAGCTCTTCCAGGTCTCACACCCCACGTCCTGCTAGGTTACAGGGTGACACAACTCACCCCAGCTCGGACCAGCGTCGTCCCAGCAGCAACCCTTAGCTGTTCCGTAGGATGCAGGGGGAAGTTGCCCTCCTTCCTTTCTTGCAGCCGTGTGACTTCATAAAAATCCCGTAAGAAAAGAACCCTCTGTCTCCCCTTCATCCACCCTCACTCAAACCCAACCCCTTCACCTTCGGGAGGGAAGAACAAAACTCCCTCCATCTACCTTCCCTACCAGCCTCAAGGGCCTGCCATAACACCAACACAGGCAAACGAAGGTACTAATCGGCCATCCCCCTAAACTTCTCCAACATCGGGATGGTGGGGCAACATCTCGTTGAGCCTGCCAACGAGCTACCCCAGGGAGTTCAAGCATACCGCAGAGACTCGAGTCCACCGCTTCGCAGGGCAGATGAAAGTAGACAGAGGAGACCATGCATCCTATGCCGTCATCTCCAGCCGCTCTCCTTGTGGCGCCTTAATCAGCAAACATGTGCAGAAAGGGAAAGAAAGGATGTCGAAAGGAGAAGGGTCCACACGCTCGACTTCCATGGCGCGCCCTAAAACTTCGATATCTCGTGATCCGCTGGACGGCTCGGTCTGAAATTTGGACCACCTCAGCTCCTCAGCGTAGACCACCGGTGGTCCAAATTTCAGCTCAGGGCGCGCTCCCAATCGCGCGCAATCCTCGAGCGCGCGCGCGCGATTTTCCTTGCTGCATGCTGTTACCGGACGCGCGCGGCTCCTCTCCGTGGTGACCTTGATTGATGCTGCCGGGGCGCAGCGCTCCCGGTAGCGCTGCGCCCGCGGACCGAGCTTCACCGTCACTCACTTGGAAGGACAATTCTCATTTTCTTTTCTTTTTTGTTTTTGTTTTCAGAAATTCTCAGCGGCCTTTCGGCCCCTAAGCAGTGCTCGTCCCCAGATGGACCGGGGGACCTTCGACCGACTGGGAGCCTACGGTTGGAATCATTCGCTTTCCCAATTTTGCAGTTTTTTGGTGACTCTCTGGTCTCTGCCATCCATGTACAGCAGCTTCTTCAGTGCCCCGTGCACCCTTCTTTTTTTCCCTCTTTCTCATTGTCTGTCTTTTTTTTTTCTTTTTTTTTTGTGTGTGTGTGGGCCATTTCTCGATTTATGTGTGTCATCCTTACGCAGGGGCCATGCTAATCTTCTCTGTATCGTTCCAATTTTAACAGATGTCTGGAAGGACAATTCTCATTTCTTTTCTTTTTTGTTTTTGTTTTCAGAAATTCTCAGCGGCCTTTTGGCCCCTAAGCAGTGCTGGTCCCCGGATGGACCGGGGGACCTTCGACCGACCGGGAGCCTACCGGTCCAACCGGGCGGTTCACTGGGCCAGCAGGCCCCCGGTTCGATTCGGTGCACTCTTTTTGGGGGGCGGTACAGGGGATTTTCGGGCGTCCCCGGCCCCGCCCAGCCTTTGGGAGGCCACCGCCACCAGTGAAAAATAAAAACGGGCCCTAACAGACCCCGTTTTCTTTTGAGAACATGCGGCCAATCTCCGCCGCTGATCGGCGCAGATCGACGGTGGAGATCAGCCGCACGTTTCCAAAAGAAAATGGGGTCCGGTAGGCCCCCGTTTTCAAATTTGAAAACGCGGTCGATGTCGACCGCAGATCTGCGGATCTGCGGCCGAAATCGGCCGCGTTTTGAAATGTGAATCGCGGTGTGGTTTGTTGCAGCCTCCATCCCTCCACCCCGCCTGCCCCATGCTACAGCAACATCACACAACATTGACGTCGTGCCATTCAGCATGCGCGTCGACGTCGTGTGCTGCCATCACGCGACCACTGCCAGTGCCCCGTCCGACGTCTCTGTGCAGCTGCTTCGCCTGGCCAGCCCGATTCGTCACAACAGCCCCCCATAGCCGCGAAGGCAAGTCCACCAGCGCCCTTCTTCTTTTTCTTCTTCTTCTTCTTCTTCTTCTTCTTCTTCTTCTTCTTCTTCTTCTTCCTCGCCGCCATAAAAACCCATCCCCACCCGCCCCCCAAGACATTCCTGACTTTGCAAGTTTTATTGCGGTCTCCGACAGATCTCAGCAAGCGCAGTTGGAGACCGCCATAAAAACCCATCCCCACCCACCCCCCAAGACATTCCTGACTTTGCAAGTTTTATTGCGGTCCCATCATTACAGACCATGCACAAGTCCGAGCTGTTGGGATCTGAACTCTTACGCCGCGTGTGTAGCCATTGGTTCACTGGTAATGCCGCGTAGGTGATTAGCCATTGTAAGCTTCTGATTTTGATTGGCCTGATAAGCTTGAACTTTTTCCACTGGATCTGCGTGAGATTGTCTGCCTCTTGGCCCAGTAGATTGTGCCATCTTTTGTCTCCCATTCTTTCCTGTCCTCATTCCATATGTGCGCGATTTTTCATATGCCGTTTTTGACCCAGGAGAGCCATCTGTGTTCTAAGAAAAGGGGGTTGTCGCCCTCATTTGTCACCCATTGGTTCCCGAAGATCGGTTGCCTTAGTACTTCATCCTTAGATCTAGGTCTGTTGGACTTGTTAGGGATTATTTTTCTCCAGATTCGAATCAGCGACGTCCAATATGGAGTATCAGGCCTATAGCCCTCTAGTCTGGCGTCCCTCGTTCGATTTCTTCTGCCCGTGGCTATGATCCAGTCTTTATTCATTACCCAGAACAGTCTTGACATATCCTCTGGTGAAGGCACCGGGGCTAGTGATCTGATGCTGTCCAGAGCTAATTTATGCCATGCGCTGTCTGGGTTCATCAGAAGTTTGATGATCCACTTAATCTGGAGGGCTTTTGTTTATGTTCCGGGGTCTATAATCCTTAGACCTCCCTTTAGCGGGCTCCTCGTGACATAGTGCCATGCGACTTTAGATATACTGTTCTCTTTGTTGGGGTCTCCTGACCATAGATAGAGCCTGGCTTTTCGGTTCAGTTCTTTGATAGAGTTATCTGGGACAGTCCAAATGGAGTTACGGGGAACTTCTTACCCCCAGTTGCAGTGAACCTAGGTGATTGTCTCTCCCCATAGGGGGCAGGGAAATGCTGTGAATTTTTTCTCCCTCCCTCCCACCCCTGTTGTGCATGTTGTCCTTCTTCTTTTTTTTATCTTGGCTTCTCCTCCTCCTCGGCATCGACACGTCAGTGGTGACACGTCAACAGGCCACATCAGTAGGCCACGCCAGTTGTGCCACGTCAGCAGGCCATGACAGCGATGCAGTCTTCTGCGGACTTGGAACAGACCGCAGCTATGGACCGCAGGGAATGGGAGTCTGATGTAGACGATTTGTTATGCCGCGACCAGGTGAAACCGACGACGCCTAGTTAGTCCGTCCGAACTCCATTACTGAGGAGCTCAAAAGCAGACTGGCTGCAAGTACCACCTCTCGCAAGAAGAGTGAGGCAGAGGCAGAGGAGGCTCGCCGCTTGGCAGAAGATGCAGCAGTTGCAGAACACAAGGCTCCGCCGATTACTTTGCCGGTATCTGCAGCAGCGAACAAGGGATAGCTAGAACAACAACCTGTTGTGGTGGTCGCAGACTCACCGGCCACCGATATTTCGGAACATGCTGCTACCATGGGCAAGGGTGACACGGTAGCAGCACCTCGGAGAAGTGATTTTACGCTCAAGTGCAACGGCACAAGCAAGAAGAAGGCGTCCACCTCATCATCATTTTCCGGGACAAGGCAGCCGACTCAGGAAACTTGGACCTATCATGGCATCGCCGAGGCCACGTACCAGA